AAAAAAAAAAAAAAAAAGATAAAATGTAATTTTTGGGTATTCCATATTTATGGGTAAAAGTGCTCATTATCAGAGATAGAGCATATGTAAATATAAAATTGAACACTTAGGTCAGCACTAAGTGGTAACAATTTGAAACTGCAATCACCATTTTAAAATGGAAATTTTTTTTTCTAACAGATTTGCCAACTGCCATTTTAATTTACTATGTTGGCCTTTCTTAACTCCCTCATCTGACAGACCTCAAAGGATAGTCTGTAATGTTTTAATACATCTTCTTTACTTACTAGGCTTGAGATTTACAGTCACCATGTAGTGTCGGTTCCTATCTCTCGCATATATGCACACACACACACACATATTTAATGTTCACCTAACACAAAACCCAAGAGCCACTCAAGATAGTTATTGAAGGCGGCTGTTGTATGAGTGATAAAAAGTAAGGAGTGCAATTTATGAGGATATATAGGAAAGAATATCTAACCCAAGTTTTGAAGAGTTGTAAGGTCTTGGAAAACCTGGAATACAAAGAGAATGGGCATGATACATGTCAGTGAACTTGACATGTCAGATTTTAACTGAAGATTAGAACTGCTGAAACTATGGAATAATTGTGTGTGTGTGTGGACAATGAAATTATTCGTACACCCATCAATTTTGAATATTTTTATCCATTTCTGAGAATCTGATGCCTGTATGAGGCCAGGTTTTTGTGTTATTAAGCACAAAAAAGGAATATAAAACTCAATTTTCACAACAATAGGTTAAATACAGCGAATTTGACAGGTGAATTATGGAAAATAGGAAAAGACAAAATTATTCATACAGTAGAAAATATCATTTTAAATTGATTGATTCATTTAAGTATAAGTAATTTACATAATTATTTTATCGGTGAAGCCTTCCAGAATATTTATTCAGTAGAATATTTGTGATAATTGCAGCAAAGATTATCACGTGATGCATAGAGTATCACCGTTGTTATTCTTGTGTTAACAACACAATGGGGAAGACAAAGGAACTTAGCGTTGACTCTCGATTAACTTCTAGAAATGGGGATATAGTTACAGCACTATTTCAAACTGGTTAGCTATTCTTAACTCTATTGTACAGTCCGTTATAAAGAAGTTTAAACAGTTTGGCTGGGCATAGAAGAAAACCCAAATTGTCACTGAGAACTGCACAAAAGCTGTCATGAGGTTAATATAAACCCAAAAGTGGTTTTGAAAGACATTGCCAAAAGTTTGGATACAATGGGTATCGGTGTAAGTTCTCACACAATACAATGTTTAAATAGAAATGGGTTGTATGGCAACCAACCATGACAAAGCCATCTTCACAAACTCATTACTCGGTTTAATTTTGCCAAAACATTCTTGGAAAAGAAAATTGCTTTAGGGAGCATGTACTATGGAGTGATGAAACAAAAATTGAGCTTTTTGGACATAATGATGTGCAGAAGATTTGGAGCAAGAAAGGTGATGCTTTCCTCATAAAGAACACAGTGGCAACATTAAAACATGGAGGTAGCTTGATTTTTTTTTTTTTTTTTTTTTTTTTTTTTTTTTTTGAGGTGGGATGTTTTAGATCAAGGACTGGACAATTAATTGCAATAAGAGAAATAATGAAATCTGCAGACTATATCAAAACTCTGGATGAAGATCTAAAATTAACAGCACAAAATCTTCATGTAGGTCGGTGACTTAACTTCCAGCAAGATAATGATCTCAAACATACATCTAAATCAGTGACTGTGCGACTTCAGAGAAAGATTACAGTTCTGCCATGGCCTTCTATGAGTTCTGACATCAATCCTATTGAAAACCTTTGGCAAGAATTGAAAGTTCGACTAAATCGTCAGCCATCAAAAACCTTCAGGAATTAGAATGTGTAACCATTGAAGAATGGAAGAAAATCCCAGAAAAGACTTTTTGAAATCTCGTCAAAAACTTTAGAAAATGATTGCAGCAAGTTATAAAGATGAGAGGCCATGCTATTGACTATTAATATTGTGAAGATTGTTCAATTTTTTTTTCTGTTTTTCATACTGTATGAATAATTTCATTTTTTCCTATTTTGCATAATTTGCCAGTCAAAGTTGTTGTATTTAACTTTTTGTTTTGAAAATTATGTTCCTTTCTTTGCACTTATTAACATATAAAAAAGTTGGCGTCATACAGGTATTGGATTCTTAGAAATGGATATAAATATTCAAAATGATGGTATACAAATATTAATGTTTTTGATATAACCTTGTGATCACTTGGTACATTTATAAATTTTTAGTGTTTTATTATTTTTTGTTGAAAATTCTCAAGAACCAAGAAAATGTATAAATTCACTTTCATCATATGTTTAGCTTTTATTAAAACTCTAATCATTGCTTTTTAAAACAAACATTGCTGAGGAGCGAAGGTAGTTAAAATAACAGCAGTGTCAAGGAAAAAAAATCATCCTTTTGACACCCTACTTTTTTTTTTTTTTTTTTTTTTTTTTTTGCAAGGATTAAAGATTGCACACGTATGGATGCATACTTAAATGTGTGATGGTGTCTCACTTATTGAACAAGGACAGCCACCGAAAAAAACTGCTGCAGATGGTTCCTCTATGATTGTTTAGTCATTCAAAGCTTGCCCAACACTATATGGACTCAAAGAAGCTTTGATCCAATGAAAAGAAGCAGTCTGTGTTTGATATGAATCAAGTAGTCTGATGGTAAGACACTGGCAGGAATGTTAATGTCTGAATCGTATCACAATGATAGGAATTCTGCCATTTCTTATAGTACAAGGTGTCCCAAAGTAGTCCTCCATTTAAATACTGATCAGGTTCAATACACTTTAACTTTGGTGATGGAACAAAAACTGGTGCCTTCAACACAATTTGACTGCAAGCAAAAGACACACACACACACACACACAAAAGTGGTTAGTTTACAGTTATTAAAATATGCATATACAAATTAACCATAAATGAATAATTGCATCCTGAACTTCAGACTTATATACACAATGAACAGAAAATTCACATGGGTCATACTTGTTTGTTTTTATATATATATATATATATATATATATATATATATATATATAATACCTGTATAAAGTTTGTCACTTAGCTGATTGATGATACCTTTAGCATCTCAACTCCAGAGTTTTGTAGTAGGACATTCCCAAAATCGCTCCGTCCACTTGTCATGGGTATCAGCAATTATATATGCCATTTATTATAAAAGTTCACTATCATTAAGCAATTACCAGAATAAAACAATCCAAACACTTTTTATGTTGTGTGAAAGTTTCATGTTCATTTGTGTGTGTGTGGTTTCTTCATTTGTTTTTTTGTTTTTGTTTTTCCAGCTTGGGAAGGGTTGATAAAAAAATTTTTTGGATAACTGAATAAGTAAATTATCAAAAAAAAAAAAAAAAAAAAAATCATTTTCTGAATAATATACGTTTTCTTCAAGGTTTTGTCCTGTCACTAACTTCTGAAGTTGGCTAAAAGTCGATGTATATCTAATATGATCAAGCTGTGATAATTCACTCGCTCACATAAAGAGGATATTAACGAGAATTAATTGAACTAATTTTATCAGTGTTTTTGAATGTTGAATATGGTTTTCTATATTCTGAAAACATTTGTCGGAGATGAAATATTAGAATGGAGTTAGTTCAGATAATTGAAAAAAATGTTCACATGACTTCCGTTTTTCTCTTCATTTCCTCATCTGGATAATTGAGGAAGTACTGTACTTTGTGTAATTTTATCATTCAGTTATTGTTATCTGAATTAACCCCCCCCTTCCAAAGTGATTGTAATTACTGGCTCCCTCTTGTATGGGTGGCTTATGTTGAAACACTGATTGTATGGGAACCAATGTTAAGGCATGTCAAGCCTAGTCAGTACCTAGATGGATGATTGCTTTGGAATACCAGGTGCTATAAGCTTTGATGTATGGGTGGTGTAATGAATAATGGCTTGGAATTACTAATTGCAGAGTAGAGTTCCAATTTCATTTTGGTTTGTTATATTCACTTATCTGCAAATGAAAGGTATGAATCCACCTCTTCTCCCCCTGCTATTGGTTAATTGTAAGCTTTTTAAAAAAAAAAAATTTTTCTACAAAACTATTTTCTGACTTTAAATAACCTGCAAGGTGTTGATAAATTGTAGAAAATGAATCTTTCTTGTAATGAGTCTTTTACTCGTTGAAGTAAGCCCCCTTTTGTAAAATGTACACAACTACTTAAAATTGATATACCTGTGTTTTTTTTATAAGTTTAATTTTTTTTTAATTTTTTTTTTTTTTTTTTTTTTTTTTCATTTCAGATCTCAACAGAATTTCTGGACAGTTAAAAAAAAAAATTTCCTGGAACTCCAGGAAGACCATGAAATACTGCCCCTCCTATAACTGAGGGTGACAGTGCAGCTGCATATTAAAAACATCAAAAGAGCCCCTACCTTCCATTGAACTTGAGACATACCTTCTTCTTTTTCCAAAGGCCAATTGGGGGCATACTGATGGCTTGGCCATTAACATAATTCAGTTTTTTGGGGTTTTTTTTTCTTATTTATATAAAATATTTTTAGATAAAGAAGGAAAAGATGTAAATTATTTTTAATCTCACAGAAAAACAAACAAAGGAAACATTATTTTCATTTTAAATAATTTTATTTTCCTAATTGAGCTATAATTCCCAATTTGTGTACAGTTTACTTTCACTTTTGTTTGATCACAAAAACAAGTCAAAAACAAAAAGAAAATCTATTTAAAAATAAGTAACATTAGTAAGAGAGCAGTGAATATTGTGGCTGTTGATATTGAGTCCGTTGTTTTGATCCTTGAAACTGTGTAAGGGGTGATCATCAAAATATTATCAGATTTTATTTTAAATATTTAATTTTTCAATCTTCACCTGAGCCAAAAACTTCTTTCTCCAAAACCCAGCCCTCTTCCTCCTTAGAATTGTCACCATCCCCCAGAAGAAGTTGATCATAAAATGCAAAATGGAGGTCTTTTGGAAGAATCTCTATTCCCCGAACTCTTCTATGTACAACAATCATCAGTTCTGTTCCCAAGTGTCCATCTTTTCAACCATCAGGTGCCCTGTCTCTCAGATTATGTCAGCAGTATTCCTCCTCCCCACAGCAGCATCAACAGTCACCTCCAACAGCCAGGATGCTGCCCTGTCACCAAGCAGTCTACAGTCAGAGGGGACAATGTGGTAGAAGATATCTACGGTGGGGATATAACTAGGAAAAGTGACAACAATAACTGCACGACTCTCTTGCAGCCAGAGGGTGGGGACAGAATTATCAACGGTAGCAACAGTCTCTACCACTCTGACAGTTCGTCTGGCCGGGTTACTGAAACAGGTCTTGGTTTGGTCGTCAACAGTAACAACACTTCTACTCTTATTGGCAACAATCTTCATTGTAAATTTGAAAGTGAAATACTTGACCAATTACAAAATTTTGGCAGAGGAATGGACGGAGTAGGTGGGGTCATAGTAGTAGGAGACAACGGTACCCCTGCTGGCGGCAGCAGCAGCGGTGGTGGCAGTGGAAAAGCAGGCAGTGGGGTTAACAACAAAATAATAATAATAATAATAACAATAATAATAACAGCAACAGCAGCGGTGCTGGAAACGGCAGCGGGACAAGCACACAGGCTACATCAGTTGCAGCAGCTGGAAATACTTCCAACTCTAACAACCATCTTCACAGCAGCGGAAGTGGAGTAGGTAGCGGAAGCAGCAACGCCAACAACACAGGCACCAGTGGAGGCAATAAAAAGAAATCTCAAATTCAGATGCAACAGCAACAACAGCAGCAGCAAACACAGCAAGGAATCAGTCCCCCACAGGGGTCAGCCCCAGTCTCACCACAACCACAACAGCCCCAACAACCCCAGCCTCAGCCAACACCAGGAGCAGATCAGCTTCTTGGAGGCGTTGTTGTTTCTTCTCCTCTGCACTTGGGTCTGACAGCAGACCCTGCTGCACCTAGCCCAGCCGTAGGAGTAACTTCTCTTGCAGCAGCTGCAGCTGCACCATCAACATCTTGCTGCTCCTCATCATCTTCATCTTCTTCGTCATCATCTTCGTCATCTTTGTCATCATCTGCATCCTCGTCTTCAGCAGCCTCAGTCGTCCCAAGCTTCTGGTCGACAGCTTCGCCTGAGGACACGTTCCTTCAAGGGTTTCAATCATTGAATGGCACGGTTACTTTCCAGCAGTTCCCGCCCAACCCTAGTACCTTGTTTGGAACAGGAATCACGACTGCACCCCACTTAGGAGGACTGGGGCACATGGCTGCCCAGCAGCAAGCAACAACACCCCAACGTCGTGCAATCACAGCTCATCACAATTTTCAACAACAGCAGCAGCAGCAGCAGCAACAACAGCAACAAAGACAACAAGCCAGTCTGTTATTGAACAACTCTAAGACATACCCAGCCTGGAGTTCAGCCCCCCAGCCGTCACTGTGGACCACAGCTGCGGCTCAACAAGGCGGAGGTGGAGGCAGTGCCGGGGGTGGTGGCCAGGGAGCTGGGGGAACTCAGGGGCAAGGCCCTGTAGTCAGCCCCAACGTCGCAATGCCCCAATCCCACCATCATCAGCAACAGCAACCCCCGTCCCCTTGGGGTAGTATCCCCCCTCAGCAGCAACAGCAGCAGCCACCACCACCAACCACCTCACAGCAGCAGCAGAGGCGGTCAATGCCAAGCATCAACCCAGTGGCACCCATCAAAAAGCCAATCTTTCCACCACAGGCCCCACAACAGCAAGGTGGCACTCAGTCTGTGGGGCCTCAGGGTCGCCATCTTCCCCAGGGAACTCCACTTCCGCATCAGGCTCCCTTGCATTCGAGTCAAACTCATGCTCAACTAGGCCAGACCTCCTTGATTTCAGCCTCGAAATTCCATCGGAGCACTTCGTTTCCTGGTCAGATGCCACACCAGGCTGCTGTTGGGGCCAAACCTTCTGTTGAGATCACAAGCGTTGATGACCAACGAGATGTTATGCTTGCTTACCAGGTTTGTGCATAGCTCTCTCTTTTTTTTTTCCCATTTATTAATTTTAGAAGCAGCATTATCAACAATAATTGTTATTATTAATTCTGACAAGTAATTCCTATTTGTTTTTTACCTAATCTCTTGCTTCCTATTTCATGTTTGCATGCTGCCATATTGATGGCTTTGGTAAGCTGTGATAAAAGCAGCTCAAACTGAACACACAAACTAGTCAGAATAAATAGCAACAATTAATACAGTGACTATAAAGAAAAGATAGTAAATAATTATCCATTTTCTAAGGAAATGGATGGCTTTTTTAATTTATTAATTTGACAGATTATATTAATTTAATGTTATTTTTAGTGGATACTCATATTTAAGTAGACGCTCTGTTGATTAAACAGCCTATTTATTTTTATCTACTGGTCTGAATATTCAAGAATATTTTTCTTGAATAAGATTTCTCGAATATTCAGACCAGTAGATGAAAATTAATAAATATACTGTTTAATCAGTAAATGGATCATCTACAATAATAAGAGTATCCACTTGAAATAGCATTTAAACATAATAAAATATTGATTTAAAAATATTATTAGTATGGATCAACACTTCTGCCTTGGATCAAAGTATCTGTGTACTTTGTCTAGGATTAATTTAGTATTTTTGTGAAAACGTTATATATATACACACACACACACACACACACACACACACACACACACACACACACACAAGTTTTGTTTACTAATTTTCAATTAGATCCTTTCATATTCATGGACAAGCTTTTTGGTGTCATTATTAAAAGAGAGAAAATCGCTTTGTTGGTACATATTTTATTTGTATATATGATAATAATGGACTCTCCTATCGTGTATGATAAATGAGGGTCAGCACTGGATGGGGCCTTTCATTTTACACTTATACATGCTAGCAGGGGCTATTGTGGAGAAAACCAGGTAAGCAAAAGGCCTATTTCATTTGCGCTTTCTTAAGTGCGATACTAGCTCAGCCTTGCTGCATGCAGCAAAGCCACACTGACAGATGAAATATGTTGAATGTGGATTTTGATGGCATCTCTGCTTCAGAGCATGATGAAGTGGGTCACTGCTTCAGTCTGTCTTCAAAACCCTTTAACAATGAAACATGTCTTACGCCACTCCTTTCAGTTTGATGCTTGGATTTCCCAGGTTGTCAGATCAATGTTGAGACATTTCAAGTTGTCTTTCAATTTGTCTTTGTAGCAAAAGAGTGGACATCCAACTGAACGCTTGGAGTTTTGGTAGTTGTCCATACAGCACCTTTTTTGGAAGCCTATGCTCATCCATTCTCACAACATGACCATCCCACCTAAGTTGTATCTTTGCTAGAATGGTTTAAATGCCTATGATGTTGTTCCATTTCTTCAATATTGCATTGTTCTTGACCCTCTCACCCCATTTTATAACATATGGCACAGACGGTGCATGTCAAAGGCGCCAAGTTGATTTATGTCTTTACAATATAGGGTCCAAGTTTCAGCACCATAGAGAAGGGCTGAGAGAACGACTTATCTGTATATGCTGATCTTTACTCTGAGAGACACGTCTTTGGTGTTCCATAACCTATGTTTCAGATTACTGAATACTGGGCTGGCTTTGGCTATTCTACATTGGATCTCTCTGTTCATTTTTTTTCCATCAGAAGAGACTGTTTGATCCAAGACATGTGAATGCTTCAACAGTTTTTAATGCTGTACCATAAATGAAGACAAAGATTTCTGAGAGATGGATTGCATGGTACATTAGCTCAGTCTTTATGTTGAGAGTTATATATACACACAATATTCAGGCAGCTAAAACTCATTAAATTCAAGCAACAAGATTTGTCTGTTTTAATTTTTGTCATTTTCCAATTTTTAAATAATTTGTTGCACATCTATCAGAATTGTGGGTCAGTCAGTTCAGTGGCATATGTGATACATGCTTGGGCGATCATGTCTCTTTCAATTCGTGACTGGCTAGGCAGATTTTCACACGGGGTTTTTTTTTTTTTTTTTTTGTAAACTGGTTGCCAACCCAGTCAGTCCTGCTATTCAATCCTTAGTGGTTGAGAAACAAGCTGATACATCCTTCTCCCAAGGACATTTGCATGTAAGCAAACCCAACTGGGATTAGAAATGCTCTCCAATTTCTGAGTCAGAGCTGATATGTGTTACACAACACACAAAATTGTGGGTAACTGTTTACAAGAAACAACCTGCATTTTAAAAAAAAAAAAATTTTTTTTTTTTTTTATTTATTTATTTTTTTTATTTTATTTATTTTTTTTCAGAATGCTAAATTTAAAATTTAAACATGTATACCTGACATCCTCGGTTTGATTGACAGCCCTAAAAGACTAATGTATTAAATATCGATACACATAACTGTAGTGTCTTACAGTTTGTGAAAGACAAATGCTGTTAAAACCTGTTAGGGATACTCAAAGGAAACATGGAAACTAGCATGCACACTGGCCATCTCTAATCTTCTGATTAATACATCCTGCATTCTGTGCTATCTTTATTAGAAAGGAACCTCTGCTTCTGGTGATCAATGATGTCACTACATAACACTTTCTCTCTCTTTCCTTGAAATGAATAGATACCTTACATTATTTTTGAGAATATCTGAGGATAAGTAAAAAAAAAAAAAAAATATCTGAGCACTTTCGCCATGACATATTAGGCTTGTCACACTGTCTTCTGTTCATGTATGCTTATAGTTGGTACTGTTTGAAGTTTGAGCACCTGTTGCTACTGTTATAGTGCTAGCAGTGTTCACCAAGGAGGAACAAGGAGCAGTGATCAGAATGAGAACATGCTACATTGTTGATGATAACTAGCCAGTTCACCATTACCATCTTTCGAGCTTGCTGAATCTTCTTGTCAGTGGTAGAAGTTGATGGGTGTCCTACTTCTTCTTGCATCTTGCTTGTCTGGCCACTTTTAATGTTCTATATCCATTCAGGGAAACTTCTCTGCAATAGTGTCACTGTATTTTGGTAAAAGCTTGCAATGAATTTCAGCCCCTGACACACCTTCTAGCCAGAGAAATCGGATCACTGCACTTGGTATGCAATGTCATTTATCCTCTTCCACAGTGCGGATGGAACATTCAACCTGTGGTCACAAAGAACACCGCCATCTGCAATAGATGTCTTGTCTTTGAACGAGACAAAACTGGATAGGTCTGATCTTGACATCTCAAAGAGTCTATTACTGGCATCAGTTTTTGAAACTGAGCGTCCTGTTGTGTTGCAGTTCCAACCTCTAGATTCAATTTTGGGAACCACATTCTTCACCACGTCATATATTTGTAGCATTCTCTCTTTCTCTGACTGCTGATGTGAGCGCCGACCATGTTTTTTCTGCTGGGTTCTTTTCGTCTCTTCTTGGGGGGGGGTATATTCTCATACCCACACAGCACGATTAGAAGTCTCCAGTGCCCTCTGAAGGTCGTAGCTGGTTTCTGGCCTTTTTAACAATGGCTAAAAGTGGTTAGTAATCCGTTGTTATCCTGAATTTTTACCCCCCCCCCCAAAAAAAACGAGTCGAGATGGAAGTGCTCAACAGCATATACCGTGACCCTTTAAAGGTTGAAAGGATAGCTCGATGGCTATACCGAGAGAAATGTGACACTTTAAGGGTTGAGAGATAGATCGATAAACCTACCGAGAGTCGAGACCAGATTTTAGTAAATTTGGAGGTTTGTTTCCCCCATCCGGGTAAAGGCAGAGGGGAAGGGCAGAAACACCTGATTTTTTTTTTTTTTCCTAAAAAAAAAAATGGCCAAAGTTGACAACTGACTATGAAATGTAAACACTATTGTTTAAAATCCAAGTTATGAAATTATCTGCTGGCCAAAACTCAGCAGGGAAAAGTCAGTTGAGATAAAAAAAAATTTTCTTCTGGAAACAAAGGCATAGTTAAAGAATTTTTCTTTTTTTATCACTTGTCAAAAGAAGCATAGAGAGGGGGTGTAAAAGCTGAAGTGGAGACACAATTGTTTTTAAAATCCAGGTTATGGAATTATCTGCTGGCCATAACTGCTAAGGAAAGTTGATTTAAAGGTGATATTTACGGGTTTGTTTTTTTTTTGGTGGGGGGGTTATCACTTGTCAAAATAGGAAGGGAAGATGTGAATCACTGAAGCGGTGAAAATTTCTTTTAGATAAGGGCCAAGGTGCCACAAGAAGAGGCTGTCAGGGGAACAGCTGGTGAGTGTCTGATAGAGAAGTGGGAGGGGTCAAGGAATTCCATTGATGAAAATTATGGACGTTACTGAAAATTAATAGTTGGTGCTAAGCCATACCTGCTTGCCTATGCAGTCTAGAGATTGGATTGGTCAGGTGACCATAGAAGTGAAAAGCCTAGTTAGAACGCCAAGGGAGGTGGAGGAATTGCCTACACCCCCTTGGGTAGTATTGGTATGAGGCACCAATATGAGAAGGAAGGAGTTAGTGTGGATAGATATTCTGCTACCACTACTCCTCAGAAGTGGCATCTCTCCAAAACAAAAAATTTCCCAGAGCCAAAGAAAGAAAGAACTCTGTGTGGAAATTAGGGAATCACCAAAATCCCAAATATCATGTCAGACGCCAAACCAGTTTTGAACAAAGGTCCATATAAACAGAAGACCAAAGTGTGTGTGTGTGTGTGTGTGTGAGAGAGAGAGAGAGAAAAGCTGCCAGACATCAGGTGAGGGATAATTGCTTCACTGAACTTGTGTGACATCCTGCTGCTCCAACTTTGCACTGTGTTCCAGAAGCCTTGTCTAGACTTAGTCATGATGAACTAAGTGTCACGAAATATTCGGAGAAGGGAACAGTTGAATAACGTTGCATGACAAACATATTCCTCCATGAAGAATTGATATTGCACCATCAGCTCTGTATAAGAAATGATATATAAAACCTTTTCTTTATTACAATTTATCCTATGACTTGTAGCCTCACTTTGTTTGGACCAGACTAATTCAGACTGTCAACATTTTGATCCT